GGAGCATTTTATGGGGTCGAGTAAATGGTTTATGGTGAACCTGTTTATCTAATTAGACAAATATCCTTTTCATAATCTCGATATCTATTAAAGTCACATTTACTCAGAGGAGAAAGTAGTCAATTTTTACATGGCCCTTTATCATTATGCCGCTTGGACAACGCTGCGGTTCGCAGTTCCATTTTCTAAGCAATTCAGTCACAATTGTCTACATGCCATGCAACAGCACAGATCTGAAATAGGCAAAGGGGCAAGGAACCGGCTGATATATTTTTAGAAGGTTTTACTCCTGTATTAGTCAAAATTCTGGACAGGTTTTCAGAAGCACTCGAGGCTAAGACAATCCTCCTACTTAACGCTGGGCAAAGTGTGCGATTGCTGGAGATAATAGAGCCGTGATATTTAAATTTGTTAACGTTTTGAAGCGCTTCACCCGTATTTCACTTATAGATCAGCTGGTTCCCTCATAAATTTTGACGTTCGGTGTTAAGGAGTAGGCCGACACTTGAAACAGTGTTTCATACAAATATTGTCAAGTGATATAATTCATTCTCGTACCACTCAACCAGCCAATATCATCTACTACTTCAGATCAGCAAAATATATAACTAGATATCTTGAACTGCACCTTCACATTAAACTGAAACCTCCGTCTTTCAATAGCAAAGGCTTAAACTTATCTTCACAGAAAGCTCAATAATATAAAATATGAAACTACTCAGATAGGTTTTCTTCGATTTTGATAGCAGATATGGTTCGTACAAGCATCTCTTTCAAAATTAAGCGGTATGTTCAGGCAATCCATAGCATTTCAACAGTTTCCACTACTTCAGTTTCCATGTACTGAATCAAATTAAGCTTTAAAGTCGAGGAACGAGGCAAACCAGCCCAAATGGTATCGTCGTAATTATTCAGTGATCAGAAGAACTGTGAAACTTTTGTCAGGGCAGGAGTACTCAAAAGCCTGCTTGAATTGAGCCAATTCTCCCATCAACTGCATACCGAAATCGTTCCAACGCAATTCAAAAGAAAATTTCTCATGAAAATTACAGTAGAGATCCCACGGTAACTGAAACGATCAGTAGCCCAAGTCCCTTTAAACACTGGTACAATTACTCCACGATCATTCCTAGTGAGGCGTTTGGAGGTCTGCACCTGAAATACGGCACTGAGGTCTCTTTACGGCTTTTTATCCATATTTCATCAACTCTGCAGGAAATTTGATTCAGATTAAATGAATTCTTCCCCTTGAGGTGTAGCAAGGCTTTTTGGATTTCCGGTTTTGCGGATGGATTTGAACATAGTTCTGGTATTGGCAGACAATTAACATAAGAAAATAACGAATCTTGAGGACAGCTTTTGAGCAGCTGTTGAAAATGTTCAACCTATCTTTTGAGACGTTTCTTCTGACCTGCCAGTGTGATACCCTTGGTGTCTTGGATAAGGACGAACCGACACACTGCTTACCAGACAACAGTCGAATTTTTGAATACTGTTTGTTAGTCACACTTGACTGTCATACCGATTTTCTTTATTTCCCCCTTCAGCTAATCAACCTTATTAAATCATCACTTTAAAGGAATTTCTACCTTGCGCTGAAAGGATACCTCGACTCGCCAATCGCTGAAAACTTTAGTACGATCAAACAAGTCAAAGTCTGGCTCGGTTGCACAGTAGGTAAACGGTTGTCTTGAATGAGCCTATATTGAAGCAATACAGTTTATTCCTCTGGTTCTAGTGCACCAGGTCTCCTCCCCTTTTAATACTTTTCTCAGGACAAAGTTCTCATAGTAATGTAATTGTGGTGTGAACATTGAAGTTTGTGCAAATTGATTGGGAAAAGCTTCTGCAGTAATGCTTGATGAAGGGCATGAGAATGCAACACGTTGAGGGAATGATTTGCTAATGTTTGGTAGGAAGATTTCATGCTAATCAAAAAGCACTGCTGAATTTGAAACCGCATGAAAGTGAGAAATGAGCAAAAATATTTTATTCTGAGGTACTGGCTTTCGTGATTGCCGCATGCGCATGCGACTGTCCGCGGAATAATGAGGATCTTAACTTTCTGACTGCTAAGTTCAGCTCTTAGAGGCAAAATGATAACAAATCGCTGTTTTTGGCTTTCTGTTTCAAGTAGTTATTTATTAAAGTCAGAATTGCAATGGATACGTTTCATTGTGACTATTCTAATGAGCGCTTAAATCTGTAGTGCAATAAGCTTATTCTCAAGTGTATAGAGACTTTGTAAGTTTCTTCTCTCCACTGTTTTACAATCGTATTTCCAACGTTGACCCCGCTTACTTCCGCAGTTTCACTCATCAAGAAAACAAGCTCATCAAACGCATAAGTGGTTCCTCCTCGATCGAAATGGATCAGATATAAAAGTTTTGACAAAACAGACTGCTCTCTAGTTCCAACGTGGTGCTGTGCTTTGTGCATTGTAGAATCTTTACCGACTTTGACGAATTTCAACGAAGACTTTGCTGCCTACTGATTCATGCTAGTGGCAACGGGGCATCAACTCAGTGGAAAAGATGGCTTTCAGTAAATCCTAGGTGATTAATCAGCGAGGACAGACGTTCTACTGTTAGGCCAAACTGCGACGTTCTTCGCAATATCGATGAGCCGATCCTCCCATTTGGTCTTTAACCATTCGTTTCTTGATCAGTTTCTAAAACGCATAATTTCATTGAGCGGTATGAACGGATTTGGAAAATTTGTTTTAGATGTTGAAGTCAGTTAGACCTAGCAAGTCTTGGAAGCGGAGCATTCTCCTGACTCCATGATTATCAGGAAGAAAGACAAAGAATAAATTTATAATTTAACATATATTCCATATTTCGACAAGATTAACATAGGTTATCACGAGGCAGGGTCT